AGCGGCCTCGATAAATGGCTTGAAGAAAACAAATTTGCTCAGTTCGTGTTTAAAATTGGAAATTACATCCCTGTAGTGTTTCTAATAGCATTGGTTTCTTGGTCCTATTATGCTTTCGTGATTCGACTATGCCTTCTATATCTGCTAACCGTAAATCCCACTCAAGGTAAAAAGACTGTAAAGTGTCTATTATTCTTCATAACATATGTCAGTGTGTAACGTTTAAATTGAATCATATTAAAGGGGTTGTTTATCTCGTTCTGTATCATCCACTTCTTGTGTTAATGTTATGGAGTTACTTCAAAGCTACACTAACTTCACCTGGATACTCTACCGATGTAAGTTACATTTAACATTTTGCCAATGTTATATAAGATTATACTCTCTCACTCTCTTATTAAATAGCCACCGATAGCTGGCTCAACAGGTTCACATCAATCAATTTCCTATCATTCCGTGGAACAGCGCAGATCTAACTCTGCTCAAAATAGTATTGATAGTAATTCACCAATTCACTACGATGACATAGAAAATAGAGATAGTTCATTCGACATTCCTGTCACCAAATCCAATACCATTATCTTAGATGAAAATGGAAATCCTGTATCCGTGGGGTCAATAATGGTAAAACAGAGTGGTGAAAAAAGATTTTGCCAAAAATGCCAAAACGATAAACCTGACCGAACACATCATTGTAGAGTCTGCAAGAAGTATGCGCATTTTCTTTAATAAAATTTCATGAATGTTTGTTGAAATATATACTGATTTTAATCTCTTTGACTTTAGATGTGTTTTAAAGATGGATCAGTATGTATTATCGATGTTAATTTCGTTAATTTATTTTAAAAATGTACAGTTTTATAACCGTATTGTTACATTTCAGTCATTGTCCATGGTAAATTAAGCACATTTCACTACATACTCTTATCACTGAGATCACAGAGAATTAACGTTATACATTATTATTTCTATAAGGTTAAACAACTGTATAGGATTTCGCAATCATAAGTACTTCTACTTATTTGTCGTATGGGGTACTATATATTGTTTCTTTGTGACATTTGCCACTCTTCCACCTACAATTCAATATGCTCAATCTTCCTATGAGGTAACATTAATTCTTTAATATATTAACTTTATTTGTTTGATTATTTATTATCTAATCTGTTCTCTTGTGCCCGTTCAAAGGCAATAATCAACCTGGATTTAAACTGGTCATTTCTTATATTGATTGGTGGTATATTCGGCTTATGTTTAATAGGTTTTGCGGTATATCACACTACTCTATTGTTTTCCAATCAAACAACTCTAGAAAGTTTAACAAAACATAATTATAAAATCAAAGAAGGTGGTGATGTTACCACAAGCAAATATTTGAATTTATTTGACATTGGTAAAAGGTATGATATGATCACGAGCATTTGTATAAATATTAATAGTTTTTAATTTTGGATGTAACGATTTTCTTATATTTGAACTGAATTGTTTGTTCAGAGCTAATTTTATTCAGGTAATGGGTCCTGAATGGTATTTTTGGTTTATTCCTGTTGGTAATTCGTAAGTCATTTCAGCTGTTTACTCATTTTTATGTTTAGTTTAAATATTATCTATAATTAAATATCATTATGTATATTCAGTTTAGGAGACGGAAGGTCATGGCCGCTCAATTCTTATAAATATAATACTTTATGTGAATCTGTTGAGAACTTAACTAAACTTCCGCAATCTGCTTAACTTTGTATTTTATAATTTGTGTTAACGCTAAATAATGTACTACATGTGTTGGGACTAATGCCTTGACATTATTTATTTTGCATATTTGTTTTCATTCCTTCAAGCACTACATTTATTTGATTTCTTCCATTATGTTCTAGACTGATTTGTATATAACGCCTTCTTCGGAATCAATTCTTATTTACAGGATTTTCTCCAATTTCCATTTTTCAAGAGTTTTCGCAAGCTTGTTAGTAAGGACGGTAATGGTTAAAATGTTTGAGAAGAATGTTTAAATTTATGTAATTTAATGTATTAACAGGAGTTATCTTTATATACTACCTTATTGTTGGAAATTTTATCTTTTGATCTTTGTCTTGTTGATAACAAAATTCTTTTTCACCCTAACAGATAAACACTTGTAGAACATTTATATTTACAGTGGCTCGAAACGTTGCTCATATAATAATTTAAATGTTGATCATTTAATTTCTACAGAGAAATTTTGTATTCGCTTTATAATAACTTCACATTGTGGAGGTTATTAAAATCAAAAATACAATTGAAATGTTTTTTATTGAGTTATAAAATTTTATTTTAGCCTATTTTAATTTAAAAAAATGTGTATAATAATTATTGTAACAGATTAAAATGAAATTTTTTTATTTTTTAAAGAAATTTTTAGGGAATATTTTTGGGGTTTTTTGCATTAGGGTTAGAGTTATTAATAAAAAAGTATATGTAGATTTATAAGCTTTAAA